TGAAAGTAAAGGGATGGAAAAATATATCCCATGCAAATAAAATGAAATGAAACCTGGTATAGCTTTACTCATATTAGATAGGGTGTACTTTAAAACAAAGAGTGTAATAAAATACAAAGAGGATCAGGGCAGTACATAATGATAAAAAATTCAACCCAGCAAGAAGTTATAACGTTTGTAAATATATATGAACCCAACATAGAAATACCAAAATATGTAAGTCAAATATTAACAGACCTAAAGAGAGAAAATTGCGGTAATACAATAATAGTAGGGCACTTTAACACTCCCACCTACATCAGTGAATAGATTTAGATTATCCATACAGAAAATCAGTAAGGAAACATTAACCTTAAACACCCCATTAGACCAGATGGGCTTAATAGGTATATATAGGTATATATAGAACATTCTATCCAAAAGCAGCAGAATACATATTCAGCCTAATTGCCCATCAAACACTCTCCAGGATAGAGTATATGTTAGGCCACAAACAAGTCTCAGTAAATTAAGAATACAGAAATCATATCAGAAATCTTTTTGGACCACAGTGGTATCAATTACAAAAAAAAAAAAAAAAGAAAAACTGGAACAACTACAAATACATGGAGACTGAACAACATGTTACTGAGCAACTGTGAAGTCATAGAAGAAATCAAAAGAGAAATCAAAGAATACCTACAGACAAATGAAAGCAGAATATAACATACTGATGTCTATGGAATGAAGCAAAAGTAGTTTTAAGGAAAATGTTCTTAACAACACAGACCTACCTCAAAAAACAAGAAAATTTTTAAGTAAACAACTTTTCACACCTAAAGGAACTATAAAAAAAAGAAATGAAGCCCAGAGTTAATAGAGGGAAGGAAATAATAAAGATTGGGGCAAAAAGAAATAAAGACTACAATGCAGCTGAAAAGATCAATGAAACTGAGAGCTGGTGCTCTGAAAAGGTAACAAAAGTGACAAACCTTTGGCTAGATTCACCAAGAAAAAGGTGCAAATAAATAAAATCATAAGTTAAAGAGAACACATCACAACTGATACCACAGAAACACAAGGGATCATAAGACTACTGTGAACATTTTGGATGACCTAGGAGAAATGGATAGATCCCTAGAAACCTACAGTCTTCCAACACTGAATCATGAAGAAGAATGATATCTGAATAGACTAATTACTAGTAATGAAATTGAATTAGAAATAAAAAACTCCCCCTCAAAAAAAAGTTCAAGACCAGACAGCTTCACTGGTAAATTCTACCAAACATTCAAAGAGTTAATACTGATTTTTCTCTAACTCTCCCAAAAAAAGAGAATATGAGTGAAAATTTCCAAACTCATTTTACGAGGCCAACATTACTATGAAATGAAAAGCAGACATGGACACCAAAAAAAGAGAGGAGAGGAGAAGAAAGGAGAGGATAAGAGAGGAGGGGAGGGAAGGGAAGAGGGGAAAGAGAAAGGAAGAAAGTTACAGGTCAATACCCCTGATTAACAGTAAGTGCAAAACTCCTCAATCAGATATTAACAAACCAAATTCAATAGTACGTTAAAAGGATCATACATCATGATTAAGAGGGATTTACTCCAAGATGCAAGGATGGTTCAACATCATACAACACATTAATAAAATGAAGGATAAAAGTCATGTGACATCTCAATAGGTGAAGAGATAGCATTTAACAAAATGCAACATTCATTTGTGATAAACAGTCTCAACAAAGGGAGTATAGACCGCAACATGATAAAAGCCTTCTATGACAAGTACACAGCTAATATTATACTTAATGGTAGAAGATAAATCATTTCTTCTAAAAACAGGAACAAGACAAAGATACCTACTCTCCTCACTTTTATTGAATATACTATGGCAAGTGCTAGCCAGAAAATTTGTGCAAGAAAAAGAAATGAAAGGTATCCAATTTTGATGTCCAAAATTGATACTGTTTGCAGATGCTATCCTTTATATAGAAAATCCTAAAGACTCCACCAAAAAAAACAACAACAAGCTATTAGAACTCAAAACTCGATTTAGTTAGATTGCAGGATACAAAATCAATATTCAAAATTGTCGCAGTTCATTTTTTTTAGAGAGGGAATAGAGAAGGGCAGAAGAAGAGAGAGAGAGAGAGACAGAGAGACAGAGAGAGAGAGACAGAGAGAGAGAGACAGAGAGAGATTGATTCTTAAGCAGGCTCCACACTCAATGTGGAGCCCGATTTGGAGCTTGATCCCATGACCCCAGGATGATGACCTGAGCCAAAATTTAAAGTCTGATGCTCAACCAACTGAGCCATCCAGGCATCCCCCAAATTGTTGCTTTTCTATATACTAATAATGAACTACCAGAAACCAAAATTAAGAGTACAATACCATTTAAAACGTCATCAAAAAGAATAAAATACCTAGGAATAAATTTTAACTGTAAAACACATATGAAAGTAATTGAAAGAGACACAAATAAATGGAAAGTTAGTCTGTGTTTGTGGATTGAGAAAATTAATATTGTTAAAATGTCCCTATCACCTAACGCAATCTACAGATCCAGTGCAATCTCGATCAAAATTTCCATGGCATTTTTCACAGAACTGGAACAAATAATTCTAAAACCCATATAGAACCACAAAAAGACCCTACCTAAGTCAACTAAAGAAATCTTGAGGAAGAATGACAAAGCTGGAGGGATCATACTCCCTGATCTCAAACTATGCTAAAAAGCTATATGATTAGAGAGCCCAGAAATAAACCCACGTATATATGGCCAATTAATTACTATAAAGGTGGCAAGAATATATAATGAGAAAGGATAGTCTGTTTAATAAATGGTTGGACAGCTACATGCAAATGAATGAAACTATACCATTACCTTACATTATATACAAAAGTTAACTCAAAATGGAATGGACTTGAACCTAAGACCTGAAACCATAAAACTCCTAGAAGAAAATGTAGGCAGTAAGCTCCTTTTACATTATTCCTAGTGATGCATTTTGGATATGACTCTGAAGGCAAAGGAAAACAGATGGGACTATATCAAACTAAAAAGCTTCTACACAGTGAAAGAAACCGTCAACAAATAAAAGGCAACCTACTGAATGTGAGAAGATGTTTACAAATCATGTATCCAATAAGGGGTTAGTAGCAAAATATGTAAAGAACTCGTACATGTCAATAACAATAAAACAATAAAATTTTTAAATGAGCAGAGGGCTTGAATTAATATTTTGTAAAGAAGATATACAGATGTATAACATGTGCATGAAAACATACTTAACATCACTAATCATCAGGGAGATACAAATCAAAACCACAATAATATATCACCTTACATCTGTTACAATGACTATTATAAAAAAAGATAAGAAATAACAAATGTTGGCTCGGATATGGAAAAAAAGGAACCTTCATGCAATGTTGGTGGCAATGTATATTGGTATAGCCACTGTAGAAAACTGGATGGAGGTTCATCAAAAAATTAAAAATAGAGCTATCATATGATCCAGCAATTTCACTACTATATATCCAAAGTATCTATCTGAAGAAAACAAAAACACTAACACAGAAAAACATGCACCATTATGTTTATTGCAGCATTGTTTACAATAGCCAAATATGGAAATAACCTTTGTCTATCCATAGATGTATGGATAAAAAGGATGTGATATGTATACACAATGTACTACTACTTAACCATAAAACAAACAATAAAATCTTAACATTTGCAACAACAGGGATGGACCTTGAGGGTATTATGCTAAGTGAAATAGGTCAGTCAGAGAAAGACAAATATCACATGATTCTCCTTATTTGTAGAATCTAAAAAAAACAAAACAAAGTAAACAAAACTCAACCTCATAGATAAAGAGAAAGGTTGGTGGTTGCCAGAGGAGAGGGGTTGAGGGTATTAAATGGGTGAAAGGCATCAAGAAGTACCAACTTCTAGTTATAAATTAAATGGCATGGGGATATAATGTAAAGCATAGAGAATATAGTGAATAACATATTAATTTTGTATGTATGGTGACAGATGATAACTAGACTTATTGTGATGAACATTTCCCAATGTATACAAACATCAAATCACCATGTTGTGCACCTGAAACTAGTATAATAATGTATGTCAGTTATACCTCGAGAAAAATAAATAAGTCTCTAAAAACCGAGAAAATAATTTTATTTCCATGACGGGAAATCTGATTCCTTTCATTTTATCTCCTAATATAAATAAAGAAAAGCACCTAAGAAATCATTAAAAAGTCGATATAAAAACGAATCCTCTCCAAGTACTTGCTAAGGTCCCAGTTACCCAAGACAGAGCCAGATTCAGGAAAATAATTCATACCAAGACCTACTGTAATGCTAGTAAAAAGGGAGTTGAAGCTTTTTGAAACCATATTGCTTCAGGTTGAAAAAAAAATAACCGGGGCACCTGGGTGGCTCAGTCGGTTAAGCGTCCGACTTCAGCTCAGCTCATGATCTCACAGTTCGTGGGTTCGAGCCCCGCATCAGGCTCTGTGCTGACAGCTAGCTCAGAGTCTGGAGCCTGTTTTGGATTCTGTATCTCCCTCTCTCTCTGACCCTCCCCTGCTCACGCTGTCTGTCTCTCTCGGAAATAAATAAAACATAAAAAAAATTTTTTTTAAATAACCTATGTGCTTTTGGGTTGAGGGAAGAATTTTGTTTGTGGGCATTGGCATGATTGCTCTTTGTAAAATGTGGAGGTTGCACACATCTCTAATACAGGAAAGAAAATGCACAAGCAAGCCATATTCTAACCTTGAATATGTGGTTGCTTTTAATGACACAGTGCATCAAGGTCAAGAGAAGGTGCCCTCAGCAGATGGAAGACTTTCAAAGTGAAAAAGCTTCGTTTACATTTCAAATATACTGCATTTCACATGATTTCTGAGGAACATTTGGTTGTTGCAGTTATAACCATGGCTCATTTCTGTAATCATGTGTCAAGTAACTGACTTACCTCATATGTTTTCCTGGCAGGTGTTTTCTGTGGAAGGGCAGTGAGAAAGATGGAGGAAGGTATTCTTTAATATCTTATTATAAACCCACGAGGTGTCATTGCTTTCAGTGGGACTTTGGAGAGGAAACTGTCAGAAGACATATCTGTGTCATGGCAAAAAAAAAACAGATTTCATGGCACCTTGACTTTTAACCTCTAATATACATGGAGACCTACTTAGGATACTTTCTTATGTTCATTTGCACCTGTAATTCCTTTAGTTTGAATTTTTTAAGATGGAGTTTTGCAATATTTATATTTGAATCCTATTTTGTGTTCGTAAATAGTTTGTTAAAGCTATTCTAAAGTATGTATCCACCTTAACTTTTTAAATACCCACTGGAATTATTAAAGGCATATAAGTGCTTTGGTAGCATAGAATGCATTCAGAATGTTTGATCTCACATCATTTATCAGGTGCTTTGGGGATGAGATGCCACATGCTTTCATGCTAGTGGTATGGAAATAATTTTCTTCTTTCTTTTTACTTATCCTGCCTCTCACTATGTGTTCTTTCTCTCTCCTTGGTCTTCCTTTCTCTCTCCCCATTTCATGAAAATTCATTTATCTGTGACATTTAAAGACTCTGTCTGAGAGGTGTCTGGGCTGTGGCTGGCTGTGTACATCAATAATTTCTTGGAATGTGGCACTCTGTCAATATTTGGGGGCCTCAGTAACTGCACTTAAGTGCAGTGCCTGCCAGCCATCACTCTCTTGGTGTCTCAGTAACAAGTCCGAATGAATGGATATTAACATGTCAAATTCTTTTACAACTGGCAAGACTTTGTTGACAGTATGTGGGCATCTTGCATTTACCTCTTGCACCTTTCTGTTTGTGTATATGATGTCATTTCTCCCTCTGTGTACAAAAACAGGAATCTCTGATACATGCTATTATGAAACCAAAATAAATGGCATCATTGTACAATCTTGATTTGGTGGGTTTTATAGTATATAGCTATATGCCTAAGCAATACAGTCTTTATTATATTATATTTAGTATTTCGTTTTTGCTTAAGTTATATGTGGACCAAAATTATTGTTGCTATTTTATGGTAGAAATATATATGTTAACACTTTATAGGTAAAGTCTCCATAGTTTATGTATGAATCTAGCATGATAGAGATTTAGCTACATAAAAAGTAATAGTAGTAGGTTGGAGAAACAAGATTTTTCTCTGAAACAAAAACTATTTACATTTTCAAAAATTTCTTAGTTATCCTTTCTACTTCTCAGTGAAATGGGCCATTTATAAATTAAATCATTAAAGCATTATTTTTTCAACTTTCCCATGAACTACCCTAGATAATAGCATATTGGCCTTTTGAGGTTTGTAAGAGAGACCAATATTAGGGCAACATTTTAGTTACGGAAATACTGTGTGCTCTCAACCTATGTATAGTCTTGGTGATATCCTCTAATGAGAATATGTCAGGAATTGGAACTTTAAAGAAAGGAACATGGAAGATGAGAGTTTACCAGAGACCAGTCTTACCTTAGAGATCTGCATCCAACCCAGGATAGGTATGAAAGCATTTGCCAAGCTTTAGGTCCTGCTCAGCTTAAAGAATGCAGGTTTCCTATATCTAAGAGATTATCCTAGAACTATTAATGCTCCTGGATGGAATCAACTACCACTTCCTTGGACTCATTGGACCAGAAATAACTCCAAAGTTGAATGCACTCACACAAGCCTCATTTCACTCACGGATCTTTCTTAGTTTGGATTTTCAATTCAGGTCCCTAACATAAGAGTACTCACTTTCATATAGGATCTGCTGGATACAATGGCAAGTTTTTTTGTTAGGACTGAGGAAAAAAAAAAAAAGTGCCTATTGAACAGTATTAATGTAGTTTCAGTACAACTGAACACAAATTCAGGACTTCTAGGACCTCTAGTTATACTTCAGAAAAAGAAATACACGTATTTATTTGCCTCATAATTATGAGTCATACGTAAGGCTAAAAGTTCACTTGATCAGCTTTAAATGCTATCTCCAGATTTTATGTCATAATATATAAATCATTTTTTAAGTCCAATCAGTCATCATCTTTGGTAGACTGAAGGCCTCTTGGGAGTGTCATATTAAACTAGACAGCATAGATGAACAAAGAAATGTCACAAGGACTCCAACCACCAAAAATCATCTGGCAGTGTAAGGGCAGGTCTTGAATTAAAAAAAAAAAAAATCACAAGGATTGAGCGAACAGGAAAAACGAAAGCCTAGGTATACATGGATTTGTAACATGATGTGGATCAAGAATTTGGTATTTTTCTTCAGAATTCATTTACAAAAAATATATAGTAACATCCACAGATGCTAGTGAAGAGATAATGCTGTCCTGTCACCTGTCTGTATGTAGATTGTTTTTGTGATCCCATAGAGGAAGAGGAACAATCCAATATATGGCATTAATCATAAAATTTTTATACTACCAAAACTTCAAGATATAATAGAGAACATTTTTAGCACCTTCCATGGACGAATTAGAAACATCTCTATTACTAACAGTACGATTCATCTGCTAGACTAAGAATATAACCTCCTTTTGCTCTGGATTCAGAATTGTATGAATATACACTGTATCTATTCTTTATTATATACTCTTTGTTTAACGTTAGACACTAATCCTTTCTAGGGCAGAGGAAGAAACCAGGATAAGATGAGAATAAAGAATCTCCTGAAGAATTTATAACTAAGGACAGAAGGAATTTTGTTTTCTTTTGGATCACTTTGAACACATTTTGGAACTGTAGTTGAGATTTGATGGGCTGCGATTTAATCACATCTTTTCATTAGTAATAGAATGTTCTCTTGCCTAAAGCTGGAAAGATTTGGGTTCTTCTCCCTAGCTACTTCTTCATCTCTTTCTTTGCTGGTGGATATTTTGTCTACTGAACACTGAGTAAAGTGACCGAAATGAGGACTGTGGGACAGAGTGCTGAAGGAGTACGTCTGATCCCACCTCAGCAGGGAAGGCATATACATTGACTCTTCAGCATTGCTACCCCTGCCCAAAAAGAAATAGTTGCCTGACCGGATGGCTAACAATCAATAGAACACTTGATGGGGTTGTTTACAAGGTCTACCTTAACATAAAGTGCCACCTACTATTGCTATGGAGATTACCTTTGTTGGTGATAGAAATCACTCAAAGAGAGACACACAACCCCCACCCCAAATGACATAAAAGGTAAGTAGTCCATCTAGTTTTGTTAAGTCCCAGTCACAGGGACACCTTTACTCAGAAATCAGTCTATTTTTTAGTCAATAAATTGCCATTCTTATTTTTGGTTTATGGATGTTTGAATGATTTATAATAATTACTCCATCAACCTTCCTAAAAAGTCTACTTGCCAACTTTTAACTGAAAAGGACCCCAAGGAAGAGGTATTATTAATACTAAAAGAGTGATTTTTAGGAGTCATCTTAAGATCTAGTTTAAAGAAAAAGCAAAAACTGAATTTCTGATATATGTACGCCAGAATGGGGGCCATTGCCTTTGTTCTTTTTGAAAAAAAAAATGAGCTTTTGTAGTAACTATATGCATCTATATAATCAAAACCCTTTTCCCCCAATAATTACAAAGGATATACTTTTCACTTTCTTTTCAGTTTCTACTCATGCAATAGTGACTTACATGTTACCTGCTTAAATAGCAGTCATGGATCCAGTGACCATTTATGTGCCAGAAGTAATGAGTGTTCAGTTTTGTAGGTGAATCTCTTGGAATTGTGTACTGGGAATAGACTGGATTAGGTTTTAGGTTGATTAGATTAATTGTAATGGGTATAAGAATGCATTATCCTGTTAGAAAATATACACCATAGCTTTTATAGAATCAGATTCTATAAAAAACAGTAGACTAGTCAAAAAGTGAGGATAGGTTGGATAAAGAATAGATAGGACTAAGTATTTTAGAGGAAGATTCTCTAAAAATGTAATAAATGAGCTTATTAAAATATTGTTATATTTATATTTAATGTAATTTTAAAATGAGATCATTATAGAAATTCAAACCCTGACATGAATGGCACTCTGTGGCTGGTCACCCAGGAAGGCTGCAGTTATGTTCTAGCTCACCTTGTGGGTGATGATACTTCCACATTTGCTTTCATTGTCCCTTCTCTACCAAAATGAAAGTCACTATTTGAGAAACTGTACCCCAAAACAATCTTTTTAATACTCCTATTTGTAAGTTATTGACATGGAATCTAACCTCCATGCAAAGAAATATCCCAGGAAAACCCTGGTAAAGTGATTTGCCAGTCCTCTGATCATGCTAGGACACTAGGCAAAAACCAATACAATGCCATGCTAGTGTTTTCTTTCATGGCCCAGTGAAAGCTCTTGTGAACTAAGGCAAAGCTAGAGATATGATCTCACTCCACTTAACTAGTAGAGCTTTAACTTTTGCCTCAAGTAACAATCAACCAAGCAATCATTAAAATTTCTAATTTATTTATTTGGTGCCAAGAACTTCAGAATTCTCAGGAGATATCTGTGAGGGGATCAGTCAATATGGAGAAATGTAGAAATAGTATGCCATTGGGGTCCATCCTGGATTCTGGTTTTTGATTACCTTGATTATCTAGACACATGGTTTCCAATATGAATGAACTCAGTGTAGCCTAAATTATTGGTAGCAGCATTTTCATATGAAAACCAATTTTAATTTAAAATTATATTTTAAGAAGGATTAAGCAGGGGAAAGTAATGCAAAACCACATTGACAACAGGACACCAGAGATTCTGAATAGTTGTAAATCATGATTTTAGATGTTGAGGACAGGGAATGCATGCTTTGAAAGCACGGTGCTTTTATGCACAGTGGCCAAATAGCAGTAATTTGAGACTTGGGAGAGAGGACAGTCATTTGAAATGAACATTCAGTAAAACAGAAATTAAACAGAATATCATTAAATAATGGTGAGAGGTAGCATTCTTCACAGGAGGGAAAGCACCTCCCAAGTGACAGTTCATTCCACATCTCCCTCACCATGTGTATATAAAATTTCATAATAGCTCTATTTCATAATAGCATATTAACAGCTGCTAAACTAAACCACCACATACCTGAGCATACATATCCACATTGCTTGCTTTCTGTTGGACTGTCTTCT